AGGGTAAATTATGAAAAAATTAAAAAAGTTATTTTCTAAAAACCTGTTATACAAAATACCTTTACAAATTTTATATAACTTACCCGCATCTACTTTTAAACTATTTTATTTGCTCATTACTGGATTTTTAAAATCTCTGTGTTGTGAAACTGTGATAATTTATAATACAAGGTTCAAGTTATATAATTTTATCTAGTAATATAATTTTTTTCTTTTAATTTTGTGAATTACTCCTATGGTAAATGTTAGTTTTACCATTAGCAAAGTCTCACTCGTCGACGAAAACAGTAGATCTTATCAACCACAAGTGTGATAATTGATAATACAAGGGCGTGTATTTATTCCAGCTCAATCACCCTGAAAATTATAAAACAAAAATACACATACAAATTACAAATGAAGAAAGCAGAACCATCCACCATATGATTGGAAACTTCTGCCATACTATTGTTTTAGCTTTTCTCCAAAACCTCAAATGCTACTGGTTCCTTTATAGTGAAAATTAACCCTTATTCTCGAGTATCTCAGTATAGTATACGCATGCTCTCTTTAGCTGGTATATAACTTCGTAAAAATGCTGAGGCATAATGAAAGAATAAACCCTTTCCATACAGAAATCAAAACCTGTCGTGAAATCATCTTCAAGATAAAACTATTGGAGTGAAGGACTAATCAATGGCCAGCTCGTGTTGCAGCAGGAAGAGGCTGAACAGCAGCCAACGGGTTCACTTGATAGGAAAAAGCAAGTTGCCACAAGTCACTCAAAACCTTTTTCGCGGAAAAGACTTGTCTCCTAAAAATCCTGAAACAAAAAAAAAAAAAAAAGAGTTAGTCTTATGCTTCACCCGAAAGAAAAACTGTACTTGTGCTTGGCTCTTCTATTGTTCTGTAATATTCGGCTTCCATGGTAAATAAGGGTCCCCTGAATTCTCAATGTCAGATATCATTTCACCCCAAGGAAGGGCAGTTCTAGAGTACGCTTTCCTTTAATATGCAACTATCAAGCAAGATGATAGATTTTAAGGAGACATGGATCAGTTCTGTCATCTCTGTATCAAAACTAGGATCAAGACTGCTGAGAAGTTAATATCTTACCTCATTAAAGCAGCTTGTTTTCGCCTCAAAACATAATATAGAAGAAAGATAAAGCAGCTTAGTACAATTCTCCCATTAGGCTTCGTCAACTGAGTTTTACCAAATTTTGACATGATACTGCGGAACCACCTAAAAAATGGGTTTTCTTGTTTGGAGAATTTCAAAATTGGTTGTTTACTATCAATCTCCCCATTAAGCAGGTAATTAGAATCTAAGGATCTCCCAGATGCAATTGAACTTTCCGGTGGAAATTGAGCTTCATGGTTATCTTTGGGAAGTAATGAAGGGGAACGTTGTGAGGCATTGGTGGTTTTATGAGAGTATAAGGAGTGCAATCTTCTCAAAAGCACCTGCAAAAAGATATTTCAGAGGAATAAAAACTTTACCTAATAGTTGGAGTCGAAAAAAATCATAATACATGCAAGAAAAAATGTTCTGCCACAATGTAACCAAACTTGCAGCAAATATATATAGCAGTCAACATTTACCATTTTATATTAACATAGAAGGCAAAAGGACGTTCAAAGGTTTCATAAATCCCAATCCTCCAACTTATCAATGCTTATTGCTATCTTCCTCAGTTGTTGTCTTCCTAACTTTTATGTTATTATGAATATATATGTAGTATCAATTGTTTAAACCATAGATGACAGATAACATGAATAACGTGTATGTATATATATATATATGTACCTAACCTGTTGCGTGTCTTCAGGTAATGCAGCCTTCTCGACCCAAGAGATTGCAAGATCCACATCCTTGAGAATCATACCAAGAACTTTCACAGCATATACCTCAACAACTTCCATATACACATCAACATCCAAGAGAACTTTCCTCTCATATTCTTCCATGGAATCCATATTTACTTCTTTATCAACAAGAATATAGTAACCCTCATCAGCATAGACCCACTTGCTAAGGAACTCCTCAAGGATTTCTCGAACACCAGATATTGAATCTTCTGATATTTGAAAAACTACCCTGACAGAGAAATCACAAGACAAGATATTAACACTGACCATCTATCTCCAAGGTACTGAGATTAACTTCCTTATGGTCGCATTCACTGGACTTAAGTCACATAAATAATTTAGCACGAATGACGTGTAAAATATGCTATAGATGCCTTAGGAAAAAAGGTAGTAAGCTTAATACCAAAAAGTAGAAATAAAAATAAAGCTGCAGTCTATTTTACATTTCAGTAAAGTAGCCATGAACAATTCCAATTCCATAACTATGAATCATGGGGTTTAGCTGGTAGGAAACCTCTAGACGCCTAGGATAGTCCATTCACATTTTGTAACAAAATAATCAAATTGGAAATGTTTGATAAGAACAGCAATCAGACAAAATATAATATAACAGTAAAAAGCTAGAATTATTATTGCTCATCTCCATGCTAGATTGTTCAGAAGAAAATTTGCATATCAAGGTCACAAATATCAACCATGCCCTTAATAGGCAAATATACTAATAATTTATGCGTCCTAATAGAGTTAGTTCTGTTAATTATTTAGAATGAACAGGATGCAGATATGGTTTGGAATAACTTAACAAAATGCTCGTAAGTTTGACAAGGAGAGTTGGAGCTAAAAAAAAAAAAGTTGCAGTCTGTGTTGCCTTCTGGATTTACAGCCAGGAAGAGTTCTAATTCTTACTACTATAATTCAAGATGTTCAGCCCATTAGTCATTTATATATCAACAGCCTAGGATACTTACACACTTTGTTACATATAGATCCAAATAGAAAAACTTAGGAACAAACAGTAATCAGAAAAAATATAATTAGTTTGATCCCCTATAAGAACAATAAACAGCTAGAAATTACCTACTTTACTCTACTTTAATATGCTAGATTATTCAAAAAATAATTTAGATATATTGGTTTGGATGAAATTTAAGGTCTGTTAAGCCTTCTCTACTCGATCTTCCCCCAGTCCTTTATTTTTCTCATTTCTCCAGGTTCCCATAACTTCCTATAGTTTCTCTCTATTTTCTCCACTCTTCCTCTTCCATACTAATAGCAAATAAAATAGCTATGGAAGAATACCCAGTTAGCAGAACTTTAACAGGAATAGCGGCAAAAGGTACAAACAATAACTTGAGCTCGTTCAGAATCTCCAAACTCCTGCACAGCAACAGAATTATTTAAAAAAATAAGCACGGTTTGCAAATTACGGCAAATATAGTACGTATGTGGTCATGCAATAACTGAAATTACCAAGCAACTCTACATATAAACACACATATGGATAAGAAAGGAAATGAAAAGTTATCAATGATAAATACCTGCCAAGTCCCTTCAGGGACTGAACCAAGACCATTCCAGCAGACTCCATCATGTCATAAAACTGAAGACCATCCACTGTTTCTTCGGATATAATATTCTTATTCTCAAGTAGTACTTTCAGAGTAGATGACGCCAATGAAAGTGCCTCTTCGTACATGGAAGAAACAAGGTAGCTGCACCAAAAACGGAGGAATGACATAATCATACCCCAAATGCTAAAATGAAATCCAATCAACTGCCGATTACATCAAACAAAAAGTAACAGTAGAATTAAGAAGATGTATTTGCGAGGAACAGAAGGAAAAACCTCTCGGATTGATCAATTTCCTCCCAAATCTTGCTGTCGGCCATCATTTCCATCTGATACTGGGACAGCTCTCATTTTAATTTTTAACAGAGTAAATAGTACAGGAAAATTCTTCAAGTCAAGCATAATCACAGTACAAACCAGGTACTACTATACTAAAAAATTGACAGATAATTCGCACATAACAAATGTAGACTTTCATTTCATTTCCACTGAAAAACAGATGGATAATCAAAATTGCACATGAAAACAGCAATCAGGAAGAAGTCTAACTCACCCAATTTTGATGGCGAAAAAACGCGACAGGTACCGATGAGACACAGTAAGAGAAGAGAAGAAATAGCTAACTATATTAATAAGAGAGCATCAAAATGGGTTCGGGCACTTACATATATCCTTAACAAAATCCTTCAATTATGCTGAAGGAAAAAAAAAAATCAGGGCCCGTGTCTTTGAATTGGCATAAAAGAGAAACCTTAGGCTTTCAGTAGACGGTTGATTGAAGAGGCAAAAGGAGAGGATTTCTGGTTTTGAGAAGGGGAAGAAGAAGCCTGGGTTTCTTCAATAAAAGCGGGTGGGATTGGGATTGGGACTGGGTAGCGGAGAGAGAGGGCGAAAAAGGAAGATTTTGTGTTTCTCAGGTGTAAACTTGAATTTGCGACTAATATTTTCTGTTACTTGATTTACGTCGTGTGAAAATGAATAGACTCAGCTACTGTAATGGAAAATACTATCAAAATTTAAGATGTACTAAATAATTGGATCATAAAATAAAAAATAAAAAAAATAAATTTGAAGTTCAATTTGCCATCAATTATAACTTTAATTACTCGGTTTAATTAAATAAATATGGTACTAATGAACTTTAAATATATAATCTAATTATGTTTATATTGAGAGAGGAGTGGGTCGTGTCTCATCAATGTCCTTTTTTAACCCATTTTGTTACGGCCCCAGCATGCTCATAATAAATAGGTCTAAATGCGGACAAGCCAAATGTCTCATCGAGGTGAAGAAACGACATCGTTTGAACCTGACATAAAATAATAGAATTTTTAGTTTTCAGCATAAGGTTATGTGTTTTTGAAGCAATAAAAAAGGGGTACAAGAGAAGGGGAAGAGGGATTTAAAAAACAGGAACGATTTTGAACGGAATTTGGAGCAAAATAAAAGGAGCTGAGAGAGAGAGAGAAGAGAAGACAATTTTGCAGTAAAAAAAGATTTAATTATTAAAATTTTACATTGTAAATTTAAATATCATTGAATTCTAAAAAAGTTAAATTTGGACATTTTACTGTATTGTATAACCCATCTCTAATATGTTAATTAAAATTTCTTAATTATAATAGTCGTGACATGTTAAAAATTCGATAAAATACTTTTTCTTAATAAATATTAATTTACAAAGAAAAATTATTTAAATAATAATAATAAAATATAAAAATAGAACTAATAATTATAAAAATAATAATTTAAGACACAAATATAATCCAATATTGATTTTTAATTTTTGAAAATTTTGAGCAAACATAAATCATGTGAAAATTAATAAACTCAACTATTAGAGATGATTTTTGAGAAATGAAAATTTTATATTATGGAACGTTAATTTTATCAAATTTGAAATATTATAATAAATAATTGGATCATAAAATAAATTATAAATAAAAAATATAAAGTTTAATTTACCATATTTCAGTTCACTATCAACTGCAGTAATTAGTTTTTAATATAAATAAATCTTACACTCACTTGTATTGTTATTAGAGAGAGAGAGAGAGAGACAAGTAAACAACAATCAGAGGAGCAGGTCTGACCCAATTTAGGCCCATGTTATTTCTTTTTATTCTCTGTTGTTACCAAAACCCAGCCTCCTCATAATACGCGGCCCATCAACCCTGAGAATGCCATCGTTTGACTTTGGCATAAAAGAATTAAATCCTAGGGTTTCAAACTACGGCTGATCGTAGAGGCAGAAGGAGATGATTTTTGATTTCCAACGGAACAGGAGGAGCGTGGATCTGTGCCTTTGAGCCAATAATAAGGAGAAGGGACGGGCAAGAAGCTCCCGCGGATTTGGAAAAACCGGTAGGATTTTGATGGAATTAGAAGCAGGAGAAAAATAGATTCTCTGAGAGAGAGGAAAAAAAAAAAAAAAAGAAAAAAAAAAGTAACCTAAGCGGAAAAGAAAAAGGCAGGGCGTCCGGGAAAGGATTTTTTTTTTAATTTTTTTTTAAAGAAACTAGTTGAGGAGAGCTTAGTCGCCGAGAGAGAGGGCAGGAGAAAAGAGCAGAAACACAGTAAATTCGAGTGGAAAAGAGGCCTTAGGAAGATTTTGTGGGTTTCCAATCTGGTCTCTCTTAGGTAAACTTCAAAATTGGAAGATTGCTACTAATACTTTCTTTACTTGATTTACTTTCAGGCAGTATACACATTATTTCATTAAGTTATATGTTGAACCAAAATAATGTTTGGGTTTTTCCGATTTACGGTCGATGAATAGAATTGTGTATACTTTGGATAGCAAAATCTCAAACGTTTTAGGTGTAAGAAATACATTTATAATGAACGTGATCTTCAGTCTCGTGAATTCTATGTTTATGCATGCTCTAGGTCAACAAGATAAAATTTATGGGCTCCTCGTTGCTCACGGTTTCTACGGCTTGTTCTTCTGCATTTGGTTAATTCACTTTCAATTTGGTCCTATCTCGTTCAACTTGTTAATTCCACCGCTATCTGGTTCAAACTGGTATACTACTTTGATTTAGAAATTTTCCTTCCTTAACTGTTGCTGTGCAGCTTCTCACAAGCACTGGTTCCCATCTTTTTGGCATAAATTTCATCTTTGTTTATTTTTCACTTGTGTATGATTTGTGCAATTTAGGCCTCCAGTTGTTCTACTAACATTCAGGCCTCTACTTGTTCTGTTTTAGTAATGAAATTCGTGCACAGGACTTGTTTTAGAATGTCCTAAAGGAAAGGAGAAATTAGTGTTCCACGCAGATTTTCTGTTTCTAAGTTTTTGCTCTATTCCACACTGTTTATTGGGCTTGAAAATGAATAGATCTGGGCCTGGCTTAGCAGTTGGAATGTTGTTGCCATATTTAGAGGTGTTTAGGGACTATAGAAACTAGTAAATAATGTGTTAGTGGAGGTCATTTGTAGTATACAAGTCATATATAAGGAAGTTATTTAGGAGTACTAAAATAAGAAAACATAGGCTGTCCATAAGGTGTCCAATTCAATAATTGCTTTCTATCTGTATATATATATATATTTATCTTTGCTTAAATCTAAGTATATATTTGTTGTAGAGTTAGAATTTAAATAATTAATCTTGTTACTTAGCCTACACCAGAATGTGGGTGCCTAACACCTTCCTAACTTGAAAATTTTTGAAAGACCGTATATACTTTTGGCATCTAATTCTGCTCATAATATATTTAGTTGTGACTCCTTTTCTTTTTGGAAGACCATTCTTGTGGAGTTTTTTTGCCTTGCATCACCTGTTGTGACACCCTTAGCTGTGTATCTTTAGTTTTCATATCTTTCTGCTATGGGAAATCGATCTTCCTTAACTCTTGCACTGACAACACACCTCCAAACTTATTAAATTGTTCGATTTCCCTCCCCCACTATTGCCTACAAAAATCTCTTCATGCACCCCTCTATTCTTTCCACAAGTTCAACGTGTACACTAAAACATTTACTCTCTTCATGTGCCCTTCCTAGAATTATTATAGAATTTAGAGTTTTTGAACTGATAGTCTGTTTTGTGCATATGATAATGTTCATTTGTGTGTTACCTGCATATTGATATTATTGCATATTGATATTACTTTTGTGTACATATTTGAATTAGACTTCGATTCTCTAGTTCAGTGACATGGCCTTTTTGTTTCTATTATCTTGTGACAGGAAAGTATGTTTGAATTTCGTGCTGGTAAAATGTTTTTGGAGGGGACACGAGTTGTCCCTGACACACGCAAAGGGCTTGTCCGCATTGCGAGGGTATTTTTCTTAAATTTGTAGTTATACTTGTTTCTATTTCGTTTAAAAGTGACTAATGTAAGTTAGTATTCTTGAAATACAGGTAAAAGTATATGATACTGAATGCAGTGTCTGAATCCTCTTACCTTACTTTTGAGAAAAGTTTAGACTGAACTTGATTCTCTATTTTTTTTTTGTCAGGGCGAAGAGGGTTTGGTACATTTTCAGTGGTTGGACCGTGCCCAAAATGTTGTTGAAGATGTATCCTGAACCCTTTTCACTTATTTCATACTGCAATAGTGATAATCTATACTTGTTTACTTGTTTTCTGTGTGAAAGTGAGACACCTTGGCCTTTTCTTCAAAGTGCAAAATATTTTTGTGGCTTCAGTTTTTCAGCATGCCTTATGAACCAATTTTCCACTTGGTCATTACTGCTAATGAATAATAAGGTGTTTGGGGAGGTTGGTAAAAGTGATTTTAACAAAATAAAAATAAGTACTATGTTCTTAACCTTTTATGTTTCTATTTTTCTTATCTAACCAATCTAAATGATATTGGAGGGTGCTGAAAGAAATGGTAAGGAGTTGGCTGCTTTCAGTTACTTAAAAACAGGTAACTTTTGATTTGAAAAATAAGCAATTTGCGCTTGTACAGATACTTATTCCAAAAAAATAAGCAGTTATTTTCAAGAAAGATGTAACAAAAATGTGCAGTTTTTGTTACTGAATACAAATATTGTAGCACTGGTGTTTTTTTTTAAATAAAGCAGTGGTGTTTGAAAGTACTTATAACTATAAAAGAAGTAATCTTAAACACCCTTTTTACTTGGTTACTCCTTTCATATCCTTTTAAAATTAAAAATATATATGTAAAATAATGTAAGTCATACAATATTTTTAACAATATATATGTTATTAATTTTTCAAAAATTAACTGCTTATTTTTTGTAATTACCTTATTTAAACTCTTAACTTGGTTTTTTTAAATAACAATTTGCCTACCTTAAGTAACTACTGCTTTAAGCACAAATTTCCAGCAAAATCCTTAAACTCTTTCAAAATGTATGATTTATTGATGCAGCGGTCATTTCCTACCTAACGTAGGTGGGTTTTGCAATCAACACGGCAGTTAGAAATCCTTAAGATCCTAAATTGGGAATCTTAAATTCTCCTGAAGGTCTGGTAGGAAATTTGACTTAGCATAGGGCAAACTACATCAAGTGTGCACAATTTATAGGAACATTTTTTTTTGAGATAAAAAGTATGGTATGTATTGAAAAAGTAGCACAAAGGGAGTGCCGTCCATGTACAAAATGTAGAGATTTATAGATCAATAAGAGTATCTACAATGGATCCTAAATCCTATAAACTATCAAGGTTGTGTCCTAAAATAATAGAACTAAAAAAATGTAACCATTTGTCGTTGATATAAACAGGAGTCACCTTAATACCCTCAAACACTCTTTTGTTTCTTTCTTTCCAAATAACCCAGAAGATTGTAAGTGGGATTAGTGTGTAGCTCTGTTTTATGTAAGAAAACCCCTCCCAAGCCAGGAGTTCAGCTATCACCGGCCTAGCAGAAACCCAGCAGATACCAATGAGGCAAAAAATCTCGGTCCAAAGTCTGTAAGTGAATGGACACCACAAAAGTAGACGTGTACAGGTTTCCAGGCTAGATTTACAAAGAAGCATCGGTTCACCGATGGGATACCTCTCTTCATGAGTTTATCTACTTGTAAAATGCCATATCTGGCAGCTTCCCAAGCAAAGAAAGATACTCTAGGTGGAGCTTTCGACTTCCAGATCAGATTGATAGGAAAAGCAGCTTGGTTTACAACAGGATGACCCTCCAGATGTTTATAGAGAGATTTTACAAAAAAAAAATACAATTTTTGCTCAGTTTCCAATTAAGTCTGTTGTTGCAATTCTGAAGGTGAGTTGTAGCCAAGGTCTGAAGTGAATTCGTGTATTCCTCCAATTCCCAATCTTGTAGGTTTCTATTGACCACCACACTTCAAGCCCAAGGATTGTTATCATCATGGGCGTTTTCAACCAGCATGTGCTTATCCCTTGCGGTGGCAAATATAAGGGGAAACGGGATTGAAAATTTGCAGTTCCGCACCACACATCCTGCCAGAATTGCTGTTGCCTACGACCCAAGTAGAGCAGTCCAGAACTGTGCGACTGAATTGCATAATGCCTTTCCAGAGACCGCTACCATAGGAGCTGTTCTCCATATTGGTAAGGTTATAGGAACCGTTTCTGAACCACTTGCATTCGATGATGGTTTTCCAAAGGCTTCTGTTATCATTCCAGAATCTCCAAAGCCATTTCCCATCAAGGGCTTGTTGAGCATTAAGGTAGATCGTAATCCCAGACTTCCAGCCTCTTCAGGTCTTTTGACTTCATCCCAACTGACCAGATGGAATCTCTTGTTGCTGTCACTATCTCCCAATAGGAACTGACATTGAATAGATTCTAACTTTTTAGCCACTTCAGCCGGAATGGTGAGCACCGAGAGGTAGTGAATGAGTAGATTGGATAAGGTGCTTTTGATGAGGGTTAGTATACCTCCCTTAGAAATGAACTTACTTTTCCAGTTGGCAAGTTTGCACTGAAAAATGTTAATTATAGCCTCCCAACAACTGCTATCTTTGTGTTTAGCGCCAAAGAGGATTCCCAAGTACTTAATGGGAAAATTGGCAGTTTTGCAGCCCAATACCTTAGTTAACAAGGGTGCGGGACAGTCACAACCAAATTCCACTAATTCCGATTTGTCTAAATTGATATTTAGCCCGGAGACAGCTTGAAAGCAAAGCATAATACATCTCAGATTAAGGAGAGTGCTGATGTCCGGTTGACAAAAGAATAGTGTGTCGTCGGCAAAAAAGGGGTGTGAAATTTCAATTTGTTTGTCGCCGTTTCCCACAGTGATGTCCTTCATCATATTGAGTTCCCTAACTTTATCAATCATTTTATTTAAAGTTTCCATAACAATGATGAAGAGTAAAGGGGATAGGGGATCACCTTGTTTCAAGTCTCTGGAAGTGTTGAAGAAAGCCGAAGGACCTCCATTAACTGAAGTGGCAAAACTAGTAGAGGAAATGCAGGTGCTTATCCAGCCTCTCCATTTATGACTGAACCCCAATCTGCCAAGCACGTACTCAATGAAATTCCAAGACATGCTGTCAAAAGCTTTTTCCATGTCGAGTTTGCAGATAACACCTTGGCTGTTGTTTCTAAAAATGCCATCCACGATCTCATTGGCCATAAGAATAGCATCCGTGATTTGCCTCATGTAGACAAAGGCTTACTGATTTTCCCCAATGACAACATTGAGGACTTTAGATAAACGATTGACCAAGACCTTGGAGAGAAGTTTGTAGACAATGCCCACTAAGTTTATCTGTCTGAACTCACTAATGTGTTTGGTGTTCTTCTTCTTCGAGATTAAAACCAGGAAAGTAGAGTTAACTGATTTCACAAAGAAGAATTTTTGTGGAAATCCATGAAAAACTCGAGTATATCCTGCTTCGCCACCCCCCAGTATTCTTGGAAGAATCTAAGATTGAAGCCATCAGTCCCTGGGGCTTTGTCACCGTCACAGCCGTGGAGGCTATCATAGATCTCCTCCTCAGTGAATTCTACCTCTAGCTGCATGCTAGTAAGCTCATCTATTCTGGAGAACTGAAGTTTATCAAGCTTAGGCCTAAGGTGAAAGTCCTTTATGTATAGTTTCTGATAATATGTTTTGGTGGTAGCCTCTCATGGCAGCATTCCCCTCAACTTTGATGTCATCAATAAGAATCTTTTCCGCATAATTGCATATTCTTTGCTGATTGGCTAGACAATGAAAATATTTTGTGTTTTTGTCTCAATCTTTAAGCGATGTCTCTCTAGCGTTTTGCTTCCATGAGATGGCTTCCTTGTTCAACTTATTAGCCAAGTCTAACTTCAGCATGTTTCTTTTTTCCTCGTCCATACTAGAAAGACCCCAGACCCCTTCAGTGTTGTCGATGGAAACAATCTCAGCCATAATACGACTGATTTCGGATTCTTTTGCCCTGCTGGCATAACACTATACAGGGTGAATTTTAGAGTAAATATCTTTAATTAAAATATCTGGTAAATGTGAACTCCAGCATGATTGTGAATCTAAAATCATCTGTTGATTCTTCCATTAATTGTCTCCATTCAATTGTAACAGTGACTGTGTTGATACACCACTAAAATTTACATGCCTATGTGATCCTTTATCGATAATGGTGCTGCAAGGAACTATGTTGATATTAATCAACCCATTGTTATTGACAATGTCAAATACTTGTATCCCAATAAGGTTAGCTAAGAATGTCTTCTTTGTGCAAGAAAATCACAAAAAGTATCGATAATTCTCAAAAGAAATTTCTGCCCCAGTTATTGAAAACAGACTAAACATGTTATTGATATCTAAATTCTGAGGCAGAATTCTTGCTGTATTTTTCTGCATTCATTAGTGACAACCAGCTGTAAGCATTATAACTACTAAATGATGCCAATTGGAAATGCTTTACCTTGTAATTGTAGTTTATGGACTCTATCGGTGAATTAGATAATTCCATGCTGGCTAAGTACGTATCCACTTTTCAACTGTTTTGAGAGCTGGAGATTAGACCAAGCTCTTTTGCTTTCTAGTTTAGATTTCCTTGTTGTCAGCCCTTTTTCCAGGAGAAGCATGTTGTGGCAATTAGCCATGTAGGATTTACATAATTTTGATGATGATATGAAATTAATTTCACTGGAATGAACATGTTCATTTAGTTTTTGGTGTGAAATACTCAGCTGTAGCGCTAAAGTTTGCGTCACACCACTCTCCACTATGATGGTGAGAAAACTGTAATAGGAATGTGCTCTTTTCCTGATTTGTGGATGTGTGCCTTTGCACGACTATACAAAATTAATGGGTTTGGGAGTTTAACTTAGCTTGACTGGTATGGCTATCTTGTTGTTGTTAATCTCTCTTTAGTTTTAATTTTCTACTCTACAGAAAATGTTTTACTTCATAATGAATCAGAGTTATTTTACTTCCTCTTCTTTTTTCTAACCTGAGCTTCTTGAGAAGTATTTGGCCTTTGCTGTGAACATTCACCTTTTGAACTCACCATTGTTGTTATTTTAATTTCTTGTAAAAAGCTTAAATATGTTCATTGTCTTAATTTTGTCGACCAATATTTCTTTTGTTGTTGAAACCTTGACACAGTTGTTCAGGATCAAATTATCTTTCCTAACGAGGCAGTTTTTGAGAAGGTATATATATGAACTTGACTAGACAATATTTTGAGTTTGATAACAGGCTCTTGCAAGTCCTCATGTCTTTTGGTAAACTCAGGTTAATCAAGCTTCAGGAAGGGTTTATATTTTAAAGTTCAATACTGATGATCGCAAGTTCTTCTTTTGGTTGCAGGTAAGTTCATTTATTTGTTACCCTTCATTTCTATTATGTTTATGTTATTCACATAGTCAGTAACAATTATTTAATTTTTTTGTGTATCTATGCGTATTGCTTCTAGGAGCCTAAAGCTGATGATGATGCACAGCTGTGCACTTCTGTCAACAATTACATTAATCAACCGCTAGGTTTGTACAGTCCATAAATTAACATCTTGATCTCAGTGGTGAGTGAGTTTTCCAAATGTTGATTAGTAGCTGTTCAGCAGAGTTCCTTGGTGAAGAAGAAGCTGATGCTTCTGTTCCTCTGCATGCACCTGAGGATGTGGCTGAAGATGATGTCTCTTCGAGGTAACACCCTAACATATATGGAAGAATTGGTGTTGATGAATCTTTAATTTTCATTCAAAGAAAATATGAATGCTTCAAGTTTATTTTCATTGGTCACTGACAAGTTTGATGGATACTTGGTTATCCAAGAGCTGGAAACTTGGTTTTGCCAAATTTAGGTACAGAAGTGATTAGTGATGTAACATCCTCATCAGGACCAGTTAAAATGGAAGACCTCCAAAGAATATTGAGCAACATTGGAGCTGCAGGTAATGATGTTTGTTGCTGATGCATTATACTGTGTTATTTAATTTAAATTGCTAAGATGTATTTAAAAAATAAATTTAATTTGCTAAGATAATCTAACTGGTTTGTTGTGCTATTTATGTCCTGCAGGTGTTGCTGGAGATCCAGATGGAGGTTGTAACTACTTTTATTCATCTTTTTACTGTATCTGATATCAAATAAATGATTATTAAGTGTCAGATCTACATGATGAATCACAAAGTGTCTTGAGTCTTGTACACAACCTGCTTTATGAAAGTTCATTCCTCTTTCTTTTTGTCCTGGCATGACTTAGCTTTATCATGGTTGTATTATTGTAGGATTGGGATTAGGGGATATCTTGAAGCCAGATTTAATCATGCCATTGATTGAGACATTACCCCTTCAAGAACAATTAGCATCATACCTACCTGAGGTGTATATCATTCTTGTCTTTTGTTCCTTTATCATCTACTTTTTCAGCTTACTGAAGGCTACAATGAGTTGCAGGGTCAATGGACTCCAGAGGATATATTAGAGCTGCTGCAAAGCCCTCCTTTCCGGCAGCAAGTGGATTCATTTACTTATGTGAGAAAGCAGAAGTCTTTTATATTTGTTTGTTTCTAGAGGAGCGCCAATTTCTTGTAGTTGACAACTTGTTTTCCATAGGTACTTCGAACTGGACAAATAGATCTATCTCAGTTTGGCATTGACCCTAGCAAATGTGAGTACTGTATCAAGAACCCATATTTCTTCTTATGCTTCTTTACTATTTTTATGATGGAAAGCCTGAGCAATTTTTTTTAGGCAAACTACATTTTGACCCCATCTATTTTCCTAATTGTGTGTGGATATTTTTTATGTCAGTTTAGTAGTTTAGGGTTTGTCTTTTAGCTCAGTATCTTGTAACTTTTTGGTGCTTTTTCTCAAATTTTAATTTATCTATGTATTTTTGTTTAAAAATCCAAACAGATATGAGAATTATCTAAAAAGCTAATGGATTTATGTAAAATGATAAAAGTCAAACCACAAGGTACTGAAATGTCTTTGAAAAATCTCTAGTTGAACTACAATTGGGCTGATGACTGTAATTCTCTATTTCCTTTAATCATCGTTTTATCTTTACCCTTACAATTTTTTTTTTTTTTTTTTTCCCTATTTTGGTGGTCATATCTTACTCCAGCCTATTTGAGACAACAAACCCACATCATTGCTGTTAATTCATTCTTCATTGATCTTGCAGACAAGTTCACAGTTTTGTCTTTCCTCGAAGCACTTGAAGATTCTGTTTCCAAGATGTCTGAGGCTGAGGGATCCAGGCAGGATGAGAAGGATGTAAGACCACAATCATTTAATCATAATGATCCCATGGACGAGAATTAGTGAGGTACTAATCGTGCTTGGGAGTCGGGCTTTTGACCTTTTTTATTGTTGGAGTCATGGAGAGAAGAAATACCAAATATCACATTCATTTTGTAGTTACATGGTGGGAAAGGAAATCATCTATTAGCTGAAGGATGATGGTGTGTACACAAGGGTATAACTTTATATTTTTTCCCATAAACCAGACTAGTGTAATTCATTGTTTAAAGTCATTAATTTGGTTTTTGGTATTCTCAACGTTGTGGAGGGTCCTGGCTTTTATTCTTAACGTAACTTCTTAGACATTCATTCATTCATTCATGGTGAAACTTCTGTTCTTTGTAAGAAAAAGATGGATTCTATATATTGACTTGGGTGGTGTTTGGTGGGTGAAATTGAGGAACAAAACTATATAGAATAATAAATAGGACCGTATAGGTCTGAATAATGCTTTTATTATTTGATGGTCTATAAACAATACAAGATACAATTAACTATTACTAAGATGTTTTTTTTTAATATTATCTCATTTGATTTTTTAAATAAAATAATGCTGTGTTTATACATATATATATATATATATAATATTCAGAAATTATTGTTGGATAAAATTAGTAACTTTATATTGATTCCTTGCCTTGTCTTTATATATAACAATAAACCCTATCACCATGTATGTGTTTTATTTATTAAAGAGGTAGTATTATTTTTGCTTTCCTAGTGATACAGATAATTATATGTATGTGTGTATACAATATATAAGGATTATTATAATGAAAAAGTTATAGCCCAAATTGAAATTTATCTTTTAATTCATTGTGTCAAGAAGAATTAACATCTTCACTTTTCCAGTTATGTAGTGTTTTTTTTTTTGAAACAATTCAGTTATATAGTGTTATGCCAATCACTACTTACTTTAGGTGAATTGTCATTTTGTCATTTTCTACTCTAAGGATTTGTAGATATGAATCGAATTATACTTGTACATATATTTTTTGTTTAGAAACTGCACCAAATTATTATATGATTGGTGTGTCTATATTAAGAGTTTGTAGGTTTAAGTCACACTATGATTTCATATTTTTATTTAGGAATTGTGCTATGTTATTTTATTATTAGTGTATATGTATCAATTAATTGATAATTATATAAATTTGTACTTTAAAAAATTGTATAATGCTATAAAGATTAACATTAATAAGATGCATCTGTACCCATAAAAACCAAATTTAGGTTAATCATTTCCTCAGGTCTTTTATTAGAAATGTTATCGACATATGAATAAAATATGTTCATATACGTACACATAAAAATCTTGGTTTAAATTTTACAATCTACTAAATTAATTTTCTTTTTTTTTTTCAATTTACTAGAAAGAGAGATTGATAAATTATGCTTTATCCAAGCTTGCAGGTCAAATCCATGATATTCCTTAGGGTTAAAAAGAATAATACTACCATCGATTAGAGGCATATGCGTGCCTCATTTTTTTTTTTTTTTTTTTTTAAGGTATGTAAATATCTCTTTTGATTGTAAGAAACATTTAGAAAGAAATCAAAAGACAAAAACCTAACCTTGTTAAGGTTTCCTTTAGCTGGCGACTCTTTTTCATTTTTCTCTCTCCATTCTTTATCCCTCCTCAATCTTTAAAGGTTTGCTTTCATGATTGTTTTACAATGCATTCTTATACAATATTAGAGTAACGTACAGAACAAGAATTCATATCAAATGACATACTCAACTGTTCACCAAAATTTGTTTTGGTTGAGCAAAAAAATCAATCTAGACCCTTCCCATCCACACAACCTATATTAAATTGAGGCCAACAAGTGTTAAATTGTGTTACTTGTTACTTAGTTGTTCGATGCGAGCATCTGCCACACCTGGGCAAGATTGATAAACATAAGCTTCAAATCAATAATAAACTAGGATTTGTTGATGAAAGCTTAAAGGAACCAATAGATCTTGGAGATCAACCATGGAATATTATTTGCAATCTAATAACATCATAATCAACTGAATACAAAATATTTTAGTCATTGATATTAAATATAACATATTCTATACTGACACGACTCACTAACTCTAAATTAAACTAGAACAGAGACATACGCAATAAAAGTGCATATAAAATCTATGAGGTAAAATAAGGTATAATAAACCTTATGGAAACCAAAATAGTTTAGATGTTTATTTTTTGAAATTCAGAATTTTATTCGATGAGTTGGCGAATTATAAAACAATTCTAAACTGAAGTTATTTAGGATTGGAAACTATTGTGGAATATTAACAAAGTAACCAACATAATAAAGTTCTTGGATTTGAATGAGTCATATAAAATCATTAAGACACACATATTGTTGAAGAAACCTACGAAAATTTTGTTTGATACTCGTGTAAACAGAGCCCTAGCTTTTAATATTATGGAATCAAGTAAGACAAACAAAGAAGCTACTTCAAATCGTGTGAAATATTACTCTTCTCATAGTAAAATGGTAGGTCATTGTGTAGACGATACTTCAAAGCTAATCTAATCAAACTTTTGTGTTCCATTGCAATATGTGCGGACATACTGTGGAAACTTATTCCAAACTCCATGAATAACAACTAACCTAGTATTTTATCTAAGAACAAAGTACAAAGAATTGGATTGCCATTGATCCATGAAAAGATCTAGAATAAGAGTGTTGTAACTAAGTATGTAAACAACATATAAAAACTAAAAGATGTTCTCATTAAGCCACTATTGAGCACTTAGTTATTACATAGTCAAGATAAGAATACAAAATATTTACTCTCTATCATATAGAGGGATGACAAAGTACATTTTACCCAAGCTTATGGGTTGACCAGGTGGTAAAGCCTTGTTATTGGATGTGCACAGGGTGTATGCATATATGCGTATATATATATATTTGTTAGGGTTAAAAAGATAATACCATGTATACAAGGCGTATGTGTACTTTATTTTTCTGAGGTATTTAATCATTTCTTTCAATTGTAGGAAGTATTAACAGAAGCCAAAAGAAACTCTATTAGGGTTTTTCTCCGGCCAACGACTGCTTTTCATTCTTTTTCTCTATTCTTCATTCCTCCTCTATTGATCTCTAGAGATTTTCTTTTATGATTGTTTTATACTATATTTTTGTGGAGATTATGACATTCTCACTTTTTTTAACAATATAATTTTAGAATGTGCATGTGCACATAAATTCGCACGTTAAAAAAGTATATTGTATATGTAAATTCTAACGAAAATCATAACATTTTAATCAAGATATTCCCACGTGTAGATAAAATAAAACATGCACGTGTATATAAAAATGTGAACCATATATGTACATGATTGCCAACTTATGTTTGATATAATTTTTTTTTTGAATTTACTACAAGTAGGTATAAAGATCATGACATTCTTAATCAAGATATTTTTCACGTATAAATAAAATGACGATGTGTATGTGCATATAGAAACGTCAATCATATACTGCATGATTACAAGTTACATTAATATAAAATTTTGATATATTAAAACGAGTTTAAGATCATCGTATTCTTAATCAATCATTTTCATGTGTAGATAAAATAACAACACACATATACATATAATGGTATCTTCATGTATAATTTAAGAATCTTCCTTCATAATTATAGTCATATTATCCATAATCTCAACTGAATATAGAAAAAAAACTTAGATGTTCCACTAAAATTAACTATTCTGTCACTCGAATACCAACAAACCATATTGACACTGTAACGGCTCCAGAAATTTAAATGAAATATATGTATTAAAAATATCAAATGCGGAAGCGTAATAAAAATTTTGATTAACATCCCTTACACAATAAGCAAAACGTACTCAAAACATGAAAGAACAAACTAACTAAAAGAGATACTCGAGATAAGAACTATAAATTAGCTATGGAGTCTTTAGCGTCCCCTTCGCCGTCTTCCTGCGGAACGGGCTCGGTAACAATGTCTTCCTGATATGAAATGATTAAATAAGGATGAGCTACACCAGCCCAGTAAAGACATCACACTATCTC